TGACCATGTGCGATGGTGTGCCATTCACCGGCGCTTGATGTCGATCAAGCTGCCCCTGAGTCTATGATCACGAAATCGTTACCACGCGCTGTTATTATCGCACTGATAACACCAGCCCTTTTAGGGTGTGCGCGGTCTAAAGGGCTCGTTCTTAGAGGCCTCCTACATGGGGTCGGAGTAGATGGGATCGAAGGATCGCGCCGCATCGCCGATGCATCGGCGATGCCGGCGTGGGGAAGTACGGGCTCCACATCGAGCCGCATCGTCGATGCATCGGCGATGCGGCGCGAGCCTCCGACCCCATCTACTCGGACCCCATCTAGGACGCCTAAAGTTCTGTTAACCCCCTTCTCCCCCTTCCGGGAGGAGTTTTCCCCTCCCTCTCCCTTGTTGGTCTGGACCCCTCCCCCCGCGAGGTGTCAGAGGGTCCTGTTGCCCCAGATGGTCGCAAGAGGGCCCCAGAGAGCCCCAGATGGACTCCAAGATCGCTCAAGGTATCCCAAGATGCTTCGAGGTAGCCTCCAATACTTATGCTTTCATGAGTCATCAACCTCGCCCAAGGGCGGCCCCAAGTGCCCTCCGAGCCTCCTAAGGAGGCCTCCAAGAGGCCCAAATCAGTCAAAACCAATGTTTTGCAATGCTTTTTCCCTTCTCGCCATTTCGCTTCCGATGGGCTCCTGGGGCCTCAAGATGGCCCCAAGAGGTGGCGCCCAAGAGTGCCCCAAGAGGCCCCCGAGAGGAGGCCAATGCTCAGGCCCAGACGGGGGTCCGTACTTCAGCACACCCCCTCTTCGTTGACCGATGGCTTCCAAGATGGGCCCCAAGAGGGGCCGCCAAGGCCTCCAGGTGGGCTCCAGGAGGCCCCCGGCAGAGAGCCCCAAGAGGGCCCAGAAGGCCTCCACGGCAGCCCCAAAGAGGGCCCCACGAGGGCCCCGGGAGGCCACCGAGGCGCCCTCAGAGCGACGCGCACACGGCGAGCACCGACAGTGGGCCACTCTGCCCAGACGGCCTCGCACACGCCTGACGTCATGCAGGCGCCGCGGGCGACGAGAGAAGCAGCCACTCGACCAGGACGGCTGCGAGGAGCCGCGGAGCCCACACGCAGCGCTGCGGGCGCTTGGCGCTGCCGGGCCGCCTGCTGCTGCACATCCCCCTGATCGTGGCGGCTCGCCTGGTGTCTGTTCTCGGATGGGCCGGCGGGGGTACTTCTTCTGTTCGCGAGCGACACGGCGCAACCGCGCGCTGTCAAAGGGCGAAGCAACAGCGCCACGACCCAAATCAGGCACTGAGCGCGCAGGAGCGAGCTGCGCTGCGACTCAAGAAAAGAGCGTCCATAATCACAAGCATCTCTTTCTACGAACATCGAAGGCGCTGGGTCTTCACAACTCCTCGCTCGACTCTTCAGCACGTGGCGAGAGCAACCGCAACAGCAATGGCGGCCTCGGCGAGGCCAAGCAAGCTCTGAACACCAGAGCAGCTCAAACCTAAACGCATCGCCCCGATTTGGGGTGGGCGGCAGAGGCGGCAGCCTTTAGATTGCTACTTACCGCTCCTTGTTGATGAACGCGCGAGGGGGGGGGCCCAAACCAGCAGAACTACCGCGCCCTGGGGGGGTTCTCAGAATTTCTGGGGAGGTAAAAATTTACACCGCTCACGCAGATCCGCAGGGTCAGGGTCCAACAACATCAAGGACTTGCCACATTTTTACACTTCAGTGGCACCCCTCACGCAGATCGGCGGGGTCAGGGTCCGAAAACATAAAGAATTTGCCGCATGTTTACACTTCAGTGGCACCCCTCACGCAGATCGGAAGGGCCAGGATCCAAAAACACAATGGATTTGCAACATGTCTGAAATCCGGTATCACCCCTCAGGCAAAACGGCGGGGTCAGGGTCAAAAACAACATAGGATTTGCAACATTCCTGAAATCCGGCGACACCCCTCACGCACATCGGCGGGGCCTGGGTCGAAAAACAAGCAGGTCCCGACGCTGCTTCACGGCGGCGCCCAGTCCCCATGATTTAGCTGTTGCATTTACGATTATCCGAGACAGGGGGCCGGCGGCATGGGCCGAAGCCCTTGCGGATATATAAATTCATACATATATACACATACATAACTTTACATATGTATGTATGTATGTATGTATGTATGTATGTATGTATATATATATATATATATGTATGTATGTATGTTTGTATGTTTGTATGTTGGTATGTATGTATGTATGTATGTATGTATGTATGTATGTATGTATGTATATCTATATCTATATCTATATATATATATACGTGCGTTTTTTTTCCCTCGAAGGGCTGGGACGCGGGGCAAGCGAACAGGGCGGGAGGCGAGGGGGGCGGAGAGAAGGGGCGGGGAGGAAGAGGGGGAGGGGAGGACAGGAGCTTCTGCGTTTTCCTCGCCGTTGTCCGCCTTCTCCTCGTCTCCCTCCTCCTCCCCCGACGACAGCGACGACGTCGATGTCGACGACGCCGACGCGACGACGTCGACGACGATGGACATCGACGTCGCTGGGCCGACGTCGACGTCACTTACCTTTCCATAGGTTATGGCGCTTGCAAGTAACCAATTTTGCTCGTGTTTCGATGGGCTCGCCCATCTGTCTGTCCGCGTGTTCTCGCGGGACAGGCGAGCGAGCCCATCGAAACACAACCTCGCGCATGCACGTTGGTCGCCATGTATGTGTTCCGACAAGATGGCCGATGGGCCTCAGGATCGATACGTTTAGAGTCATTTGTCCTTAACGCACCCTGGGGCCCAAGATGCCTCCAAAGAGGGGGGAGGATGGAGGAGGCTGTGTCGCCCCAAGGGTGCACTGTGAGTCCCTCAAAGTTCTTGGATCTGCGAGGGGCCTCCTCGCGCACCCTCTGAACGTTGGAACTCTCTGGGAAGCCCTGGGAGTCTCGGGGCGCTCTGCGGAGGCGCCAAACGATATTGGGCCCGTCGTTCCAGGGAGTGGCTCTAACTACGACGCCGCAGCGCATCGCAGCCGTAAGGCTGCAGGGATGGTGCGTTGCGCTTGATGGGGTTCATTTGAAGATGATTGAAGGTTTCTCTGGGGCTTCTCGGCGCGGGCCAATGTGGGGTTGGGGTCAATCTTGGACGCGATGCTTCTCCCGAGCTCTCCCGAAGGGACTCGGTTGGACCGCCTCGGAACTGCCCGGGCTTTTTTGCATGTGTTTTCTTTTCCGAGACGGTGAAGAAGGGCTAACTACCAGTCGGCACGCCAAACGCACGCCGACCACCCATGCGACACACCAATGCATGCCGATGGGAATACCAAACAAGCACACAAATTCTAGACTGCAAAGCGTGGAGCGAAACCCGCGACGCTTCATCTGCCGAACAAACTAAAGCAGAGCTGGCGAACGGGCGGACAGAACAGAAGAGGACGGTGGCCCGAGTCTCTCTGAAGCATGGGTCATGCCAGGCCAAGCGCTCGAGGGAGCCCATCCCAAGAAGCGCAGCACGCGACAGCCCTATCAAAGAAACATCACTGGCGAAAACCCTGACACCATCAATGGCCCATGCAGAAGCACCAGCGATCATGTGCGCCGCGCACGCACTCCAACGATGGGGGAGAAAAAAGGAGGAGGACGAGGCGGGGCTGACTGGGCGCGTTCTGTCGTGCAAGTGCAGCTAGAGCTTCAACTGTTCTGTACTCCAAGAGAACCTTCAGAAGCCATGATGGCTTGCAAAGACACGCTGCGAGTGCAATGCGGGTTTGGAGTGGCTGCCTGGGAATGGTCGTCCTCGCCAAGTAGCCTACCAACTGGGAATCCCGCCTTGCCCAGGTGGCGGAAGAACACGTTGAGGTACTGGACGCCTGTGCTGGTGTGCCCCCAGCGGACCTTGACATCAACGCTCTTGATATGCAGCCACCCTGCGCCGACGTGAGCGTTTGGGACACCAGCAAAGAATCGAAAGCCCCCCCCGCTCAACTCGTCGACCCACTTGCCTGTCAGATTTAGGGCGACGAAATCCGCCACCGTGCCGCGAGGCACGAGTTGGAATGCCCCCGGGCCCCTCCCGCGTATATAGAGGCCTCCTGGATGGGGTCCGAGTGGATGTGGTCGGAGGATCTCACCATATCGCCGATACATCGACGATGCATCGCTGATGCATCGGCCATGGACTGGCGACGTCAGCGATGCATCGACGACGTTGGCGTGGAGAAAACCGGGCCCCACATCGAGCCGCATCGCCGATGCATCGCCGATGTATCGGCGATGCGGCGCGATCCTCCGACCCCATCTACTCCGACCCCATCTAGGAGGCCTAGAGACTGCGAAGGGACCGGGGCCCCAGACTCGCGGCTCTCCCGGGGAGGAGGAGGAGGAGAGGAGGAGGAGGAGGAGGAGGAGGAGAAGGAGGAGGAGAGGAGGAGGAGGAGGAGAGGAGGAGGAGGAGGAGGAGGAGGAGGAGGAGGAGGAGGACGACGACGACGACGACGAAGGCCAGTAGATCCGCCGCCCCCTGTTGGCTTGCCACAGGCGGGTGCCCGGCGTGCTGGACCCTTCTCGGTGTTGGGTTTTGCTTGTTTCCCCTCCAAGAAAACTCTCCCCCTGTGGCGTCGGCCCGTCCCGCCGGCCACCCAGAAAAATGCGCCAGTCAATGCCTTTCACGCCCCAGATGACCCCAAATGGACTCCGAGATGTCTCCAAGACGGCCAAGATGGCACAAGATGGCCTCCAAGTCCGCCTGAGATGGTCCAAGATGGCCTCCAAGCCTCCAAGACGGCCAAGGAGGATCCAAGATGCCTCCACGTCCGCCCCAGAAGCCTCTCAGACGGCCCAAGACTGCCCAAGAGGTGCCCAAGAGGCTTCCAAGACGGCTAAAGAGGGCTCCGAGAGGTCCTCCAGGAGGGCCCGACGAGGCCAAAACCATTGATTTTCCATACGTGTTTGAAGGATGTTCGAATTTGCTCTTTTCGGTCTTCGACAGCCCAAGATGGCCCAACGCTCGGCCACGTGGGCGATTCCAGAAGGCGAGGGGCAGCGGTGATTCGCCGTAGGCGTCTTCGATACATGTCCGCACAGGAGCTACCCTTTCGGCGCGCCTCAGCCTGCACGCGAAGCAATGCCTCTTCAGCGCGCACTCCTCTAGGGACGTTAATCAGAACATGCTTGCCTGGCCTCATCAAGTCGAACCGCTCACCGTGGAGGGTCCGCAGGTGGGGGTCGCCAGTGGCAGACACACCGCCGCCTCCGCCCGACGTCGGGAAGGCCGTCGGGTAAGCCGTCGGGTAGGGCGTCGGGACGGCCGTCGGGTAGGGCGTCGGAGCCGCCTCGACTGTCACGGTCTGCGACCCAGTTGCTGTGAAAGTATGAATGTGGTAGCCATTGCTCGTGGTGACTGTGCCACCTTGGAGCAACGGGGTGGAACTCAGGTACCTGATGATTACTATGCCGGACCCTCCATTGCCGGCCAAAGAAGATTCAGGATCCGTACCGCCGCCACCACCGCCAGTGTTTACCTGTCCGTCTTCGCCATTGAAGTCATCGCCGCCAACACCGCCGTAACTGCTTCCATCGCCGCCGCCCCCTAGGCCGCCGGCCCCTCCTGGATAAGTGGTGCAAAAGCAATTTGCGTTGACGCCACCGCCACCGCCTCCGCCGTAATACATGGAAGTGCCTGAAATTGACGACGCCACTCCAATGCCACCATCTCCTCCGTAGTGCTGTTGGGGTGCGTCGCTTCCAACACCGCCCGCGCCGCCGCCGCCGCCGCCTGCGCCGAACGCCGACCTGTCGCTGCGCCCGCCACGATTGCCCTGTCCCGCAACCCCAGCCGCGTACGCAACACTCGGCAGATCGAAGGAGCCTCCACCGCCTGAACCCCCGCTGGAGGCCGTCCTGGAACTGCCCCCCGCACCCTTGCCGCCACCGTATGCCACCAGAGAGCCGATCGAAGAGTTTCCTCCGCTCGCTGCCTCCGCAAAAGTTCCGCTGCCCCCCGAACCTCCGAGACCGCCTGCCCCAACCGTGATGACTTCGTCGACGGATATGACTAAGCCCGTCCCCTGGAGCACACCGCCGCCGCCGCCGCCTCCGGAAGCGCCGCCACCGCCTCCGCCGACAATCAGGTATTCCACTGTCAGGGTCGACTGCGCCGCCTGCTTCTCCAGGGTGGCAGCTACGTCAGTGGCGGTCGTTGCGCGAGGCTCGGCCCTGTCGAAGTGCAAGGCTGCTGCGCAGCCTAGAGAAACAGCGCCGAGATACCCGACTGTTTCATGGCACCACGATGAAGGGTGTTAGAAGATGCTGAATAACAACAACTGCGTACGAGCACAAAAGTCTTGAGGCAGAATGGATAGGGACAGAAAAAAAGGCATCCCACTCCAGAGATCACGACAAGCCGGGCACGCCTGGGTGCAAGGAAGTCTCAGGCGAAGCGGGCCGGACCACCTCGAGCGCGGCGTCTCAGAGCTCCGAGTTGCGGGGGCCTCCTGGGGCCTCCTGGGGCCTCCTGGGGACCTCCTGGGGCTTCCTCCTGGGCCTCCTGTGGTCTCCTGTGGCCTCCTGGACCCCACCTGGGGCTTCCTGAAGCCTCTTAGGGGCTCCCAGGGGCGGATATCTAACATGTGGCCGTCGGGGCCCCTCAAAATGGGGGGGGCCACAAGAGCAGGAAAAATCAACGAATCGACACTGGATGTGTATTAACTTGACACGTTCTGATAGTGGGCCTCCTGGGAGCCTCCTGGGAATCTCCTGAGGACCCCTGGGGCCTGTCCTGGGCGTCCTGCGGCCTCCTGAAGCTCTCTGGGACCTCCTGGGGCTCCGAGGGTCCCAGGGGGGATATGTAACATGTGGTCTTCTGGGCTCCTAGGCTGGACCACCTCTTGCGCGGCATCTGTGAGCTCAGAATTGCGAGAATGTCTTGTGCGAAAAGAAACCGACCACCTTGCGCACGACATCTCAGAGCTCAGAAATGCGAGGATGTCTCAGGCGAGACGGGCCGGACCACCTCGCGCAGGGCATCTCAGCTCAGAGTTGCGAGGATGTCTCAGGCGAAACGGGCTGGACCACGTCGCGCGCGGCATCTCCGAGGTCAGAGTTGCGAGGATGTCTCAGGCGGAGTGGGCTGGACCACCTCTTGCGCGGCAGCTAAGAGCTCAGAGTTTCGAGGATGTCTCAGGCGAAACGGGCCAGACCACCTCGCGCACGGCATCTCAGAACTCAGAATTTTGAAGACGTCTCAGACGAAACGGGCCGGACCATCTCTCGCGCGGCATTTCGGAATGCAAAAGTGCGAGGATGTCTGAAGTGAAAGGGACCTCTTGGGCGGCATCTCGGGGCTCAGAGTTTGGAGGATGTCTCAAGCAAAACGGGCCGGACCACCTCTCGCGCGGCATCTGGGAGCACAGAGCTGCGAGGATGTCTCAAGCAAAACGGGCCGGACCACCTCGCGCACGGCATATCAAGGCTCAGAGTTTGGAGGATATCTTAGGCGAAACGGGCCGGACCACCTCTTGCGCGGCATCTCGGAGCCCAGAGTTTCGAGGATGTCTCAGGCGAAATGGGCTGGACCACCTCGCGAGCGGCATCTCAGAATTCAGAGTTGCGAAGATGTCTCAAGCAAAACGCGCCCGACCACCTCGCGCACGGCATCTCAGAGCTGAGAGTTTGGAGGATGTCTCAGGCGATGCGGGCCGGACCACCTCTCGCGCGGCATCTGGGAGCTCAGAGTTTGGAGGATGTCTCAGGCGAAACGGGTCGGACCACCTCTCGCGCGGGATTTGGGAGCACAGAGTTGCGAGGATGTCTCAAGCAAAACGAGCCGGACCACCTCTTGCGCGGCATCCGGGAACTCAGAGCTTGGAGGATGTCTCACGCGAAACGTCCAATCCTGGACAACTCAGAGACGAGATTTGCGAGGATGTCTCAGGCGAACGAATTCTTTGAGGACGTCTCTGCCTTGAATTCCCCCAGCCGGAGTTAGCTTCTACCACAGCAGCACCCCGTTCAGCAAGCTGTTTGTAGGAGAAAAAAAGAATGTGGGATCTCCGTTTTTCCAAGTTGTAGTGCCTGGGCTGTAGGTTCTACGTCTGCTGCATGCAGGCAACGGTCTGTTGGGATGCCTGGGTGTCTTCGTGCGAAAATAAACAAGGGGTGAGTTTGGAAAATAATGAATTCTAAAATTCCACTGCTTCAACTCATGGGGTCATGGGATCTCGATTTCTACCATGGTTTCAGGGCAGCCAAGAGGACACGAAAACAATCCAAGAGAGTGCCCAGACAGCGTCAGAGAGTTCAACAACATTCCCGAAACATTTTTGCATGTGACCCCGAAGTCTTGATGGGGCTCGAGGAAGACGATAGGGAGTAAGAGTCGCAACCTGAAAAACAAAGAATATCTGGAATTCCTTTTGTTCCAAATTCCTCGGCCTTGGAGCGTTAGAAGCCGGAAAACGTGAGAAGGCGAAAAGCGTAGACAAAAACCATTGGAAATCAACGATTTGACCCTCTTAGGGCTCTCTCGGGATGGCTGTCGAAGCTCTCTTGGGCTGTTTTGGGGGCCTCGTCGGAGGGGGCCTCTCAAGGGTCTGGGGTGTGTTGGAGGCCTCTGGGGGGTCCCAGAGTCCTCTCGGAGGTCTCTGGCGGCTTCCTGCTCCCGCTCTTGGGCTCATCTTGGGCCTGTTCTGGGGTGGTCTGGAGTTGTCCTGGGCGCCTCTTCGGCAATATTGGAGCCGTCTTTGCCCGTCTTGGGGCCGTCTTAGGGGCCTCTTGGGCGGTCTCGGGGCGGTCGAAACATGAAATGGTGAGAAGACCAAAAACGATAGAAACAAAAATATGAAAATTAACGATGTCAGGTTCTCTGGTCGCTCTCGGAAGGCCTCTCGGAGCTCTCTTGAAGTCTTTTTGAGGCCTCCTGGGAGCCTGGAGAGCCGCCCGAAAGCTATCCTGGGTTGCTTGGGAGCGTTTTTCAGCACTCAACACGTTGTCGCGGGGCATTTTCAGCACTCAATCCGCCCACCTGTGGTCTTGCCACAGAAGATGCAGGGGTGTGAAGCCTCTGTGACACCCCCACACTGGCAAGCCGCTCTCCGAGCTTCGCGCCCGCGCGTGCGTGCGAGCAGAAGAGGAACAGAAACCATAAACATAAACTTTTGGCGCTCCACGCAAATTTCTTGGATCTGCACTGGACTCCCCTCCCTGGCGCGCTCCGCGCACCAGGGACGGCGCCGCCGGGAGGCCCAGCGCGGATCCAAGAAATCCGCTCTGAGCTCCGAAACGCGGCTGCGGGGTGCTGTCGTGCGCTGCCGGGAGGCCGTGGTGTGAATCGATTGCGATTCGAGTGCGAATCGATTATTGGTCCAATTTAAAGGAGCTGCGGCTCACTTGTGAGTCCATCGTGGACAAGTCGTAGAAACATCGTAATGCAATCGAGTGTCACATGTGATTCCACGATGGTTCAGGCACGAGTCCGTTCTGAGACAACTGCGAAACGATTGTGGATCGACGAACCGTGGTGCAGTGATCTCGTCGTTTGCGCGGTGACGTCGTGTAATGTTTCACGGTGGGGTTCAACTGTGAATCAACATCGAATCAATTCAGGTTCGAATTTGAAATGAGCTGTGAGCCCGTTCTGGTAAAATCGCGGCTCCGTTGTAAATCATATGTGCGAGCCGACTGTGAATCGATTGCAAAGCCACCATGACCAAATGTTGCATCAATTCCGAATCATGTGTGTACGCGTGCCTGTGTGTGCGTGTGTGTGTGTGTGTGTGTGTGTGTGTGTGCGTATGTGTGAGTGTGCAATTTCCCAAAGTCGAGCGTTGACTTACTTTGTCGCACTTGTGATCCAATTGTGCCGCAAGTGTGCATCATGTGCGAATGCGAGGTTGAACTCTAATCAGGCCAAACTTGGTCACAAAATTGATGGGTTGATTGACCACCTGCCCTACTTAAGACGCCCTGGCAGGACCTTCACACAAAGCACTCACCATCGATATCGCTCAGCAGGGAAAGCGAGCAGTGCAGGTGAGGCGAAGCTGGCATCCTGCGGCGTCTCACGCTGTTCTCGACCCGTCCGCCGAACGCAGTGGTCCGTGCGGCGCAGCGGTCTTGGTGAGGTTGGCCGGGAGCCGAGCCTGGCGGGAAGCGTGGGGCCATCTCCGATAACACGGCTCCTCTTAGGTCGGGCATGTCCTCCTACAGGCGGATTGCAAAAAGAAAATTGAAAACATACTCAAATAAAAATTAGCAAATCATCAAACATATTCAAAACTCGTCCCACAACAGTTTTTCAAACTGTTTTTGAATGTTCCACCTGTGGAGAGACATGCCCGACTTACGGCTCCTCTCCGCTGCCGACCTCGTGGTCTTCAGCAGCCCAGCCCTTGAGACAGATGTGCTCTCGCGGCGCCGGCCAGCAGGCAGATGACCGCGGCACTTATCGCCCACATCGAATCTCTCGCAACGCCCGCAGGTGATGATCGGACAGAGTGATTGAGTGAGTGAGTAAGTGAGTGAGTGATTGAGTGAGTGAGAAATATGCTGCGGGGTCTAGATGGCCTCCTACACCCAGAAACTGACCTTGAGCACACGCTGAGAAGGCATCACACAGGTCTGTTCACGTGGAGTGTGAAGCCTGCCGATGAAGCTGCGAATTCGTGTCAACCTGTCAAGGACGAGATGAATGGGACGCATGAAAGCAGGAGCGAGTACTGCGCGAGAGCGGATGAGGGAAGTTGGGCGACACTGGAATTGTGACTTTCAGGTCGAACTCGGTCGATCATCGCTCGTACTTTCGTGCATCACCGAAGCAGACGCAGATGCTGTCAAAGACTACAAGGCTCGAGCGACAACAGTTGGTACAATCTTTCAAACAATGAACACTCATTCCTAGACTTAGGTCGGGCATGTCCTCCTACAGGCGGATTTTGAAAGACAAATGAAGAATAGTCACAACGTACGCAAAAGGAGCCACACATAGATTACACATCGTCCCCCGACTATTCTTTTTTTACTATGTTTGAAGATTCCTCCCGTGGAGGGACACGCCCGACTTAATCCTGGCCCTCCCCAGCCGACTCTAAAGTGAACACTCGTTGACCCTGACCTCGGCCCGCTTCCCAGAGGAGCCGGGGCCTTCGGCGCCGCACGTGGAGCTATCGACTGCGCGGCGGCGTGCAGGAGCTCGGACCTGGCGGCACGCCGGCGGGGGGGGCGCGAGGGAGCCGTGCCGGACGGGTGCAGGCAAGGCGGGAGGAAGGAGGAGGACGAGGAGGAGGAGGAGGAGGAGAAGGAGGAGGAGGAGGAGGAGGAGGAGGAGGAGGAGGAGGAGGAGGAGGAGGAGGGGGAGGAGGAGGGGGAGGAGGAGGAGGAGGAGGAGGAGGGAGGAGGAGGAGGAGGAGGAGGAGGAGGAGGAGGAGGAGGAGAGGAGGGGGAGGAGGAGGAGGGGAGGAGGGGGAGGAGGAGGAGGAGGAGGAGGAGGAGGAGGACGAGGAGGAGGACGAGGAGGAAGAGGAGGAGGGGCGACAGCCAGCACCAACGTTCGCTCTCATGCACGACCGGCAGGCACATCCGTCTGCCCGCGCCCCCGCGGTGCGGACTCTGGGGCGCGGTGCCGCGAATGCGCGGTCGCACGGACACGCTCTGCGCGCTGCCTCCGCGACGAGAACGCCTGGTGTCCGCGGGGGCGCGACCGGAAGAGAATCAGCAGCGGCGGCGGCGGGCGGAGGCGGGACGCCACCGTCGTCGGTCGCCGTCGCCGTCGTCGCCGTCGCCGCCATCGCCTCAGTCGTCGTCGTCGTCGTCGTCGTCGTCGTCGTCGTCGTCGTCGTCGTCGTCGTCCTCGTCGTCGTCGTCGTCGTCGTCGTCGTCGTCGTCACCGCCGTCACCGTCGACGTCGTCGTCGCCGTCGCCATCGTCGCCGTCGCCGTCGCCATCGCCGTCACCGTCGTCGCCGTCGTCGTCGACGTCGTCGTCGTCGTCGTCGTCGCCATCGCCGTCGCCATCGTCGTCGCCGCCGTGGTCGCCGTCGCCGCCGCCATCGCCGTCGTCACCGTCGTTGTCGTCGCCGTCGCCGCCGTCGTCGTCGTCGTCGTCACCGTCGTCATTGTCGTCGTCGTCGTCGTCGTCGTCGTCGTCGTCGTTGTCGTCGTCGTCGTCGCCGTCGCCGCCGCCGTCGCCGCCGCCGCCGTTGTCATCGTCGAGGCTGGGACAGCCCATGCCGCCCAAACGGGGCCAGAGCAGACTGGCGCCAATGCAGGAATCGATTCAGGAATCCATCCAGGAATCAAGTCAGGAGCGAATTCAACATTTAATTTGACAGGCGAAGAACGGTATAATATACACTTTTTCGCTGTCGGGGGCGCGTACCCCAGGGCGGCTGGAACGTTTATACTCTTACGGTGGCACGTCAAGGTATTAACTTTCCAGCTGCACTCGGGCAGCGCCCCCGGCGACTGAAACCTTTATTTTACACCATTCTTCACCAGCTAATGGATAGGAGTGACTTCCAGAGCAGTTGTTCGGTATCCGAAGGGGGGTGGAATTGAGGGCCACCCCCCCATTTTCAACCCACGGGCTCCAAGATCGCCGCAAGAAGGCCTCCTCCTGGAGAGCTCCGGGAGGCCCCAGTACCTCCCCAAGAGGACCCAAAGAAGGCCCCAAGAAGATCCCCAAGATAACCTCAAGAGCCCTCCGAGAGGCTCGCACAACAAGAAAGCCCGCGTAGGCCTCCTCCCCCTCGTCCTCTCCATTCCTCTTCCTTCTAACAAAACCAAGACAACACTCCTCTCTGTCGCGCCACCAGACGTGTCGGAAGGGCTTGCTGAGCATTTTGCCGGACACTCCCTCATCATTTGTGACGCTGAAGCTTGAAATCTGAAGCAGCTTCAAGGATGGAGGAGCGGTGGCTGTCAAAATGTGGCTCTCGCCGTAGCGCCGCGCACCCCTACCTCAAACGTTTCCAGCAGCCTCAAAGATGGAGGGGGTGGTTTTCAAATTGTGACTCGATTGATCGTCGCACACGTGTACACACACTCGTCTCAAAATTTGCAACAGTCTCAAAGATGGAGGGGGTGGTTTTCAGAATGAGGCTGTCGCCTCAACGCCGCGCACATTCGTCTCAACGTTCTGCAGCCGTTACAAGGGTGGAGCACGTGTGGCCTTAAACATTTCGCCTCGGCGCCGCGCGCGTTCGTCCTACGATGTTGCAGCGACTTTCGGCATGGAGGGCGGCTCCTCCTTCAAAACGTAGCTCTCGTCATTGGCGCCGCGCACGTTCGTCTTGAAACGAGTTTGCAAACCGCGCCAGGGCTGGATGCAGTAAAATGTGGCCCTCGCCTCGGCGCCGCGCCACATTCGCCTTTAAAGCTTTGCAGTGGCTTCGAAGACAGAAAGGGGAGTCCTTTCCAGACTGTGGCTCTCGCCTCGGCGCTGCGCACACCCGTCCCAGATGTGGCAGCACTTGCACCGATTTGGGCGGACGCCGTCTTCGAAAGGGGGCTCTCTCGCCTCAGTGCCGCGCACATCTGTGAACAAACACATGCAACCTCCAGGGGGGTAGAGGACTGCTCTTTTTCTCACTCAATTGAAAGGGCCCTGGGACACACAAATAAATACACACAAATAAGAATGTTTCCCATATTTTCCAATATTTTCTGGGTTTTTGTCTTCCCCCCACTTCCCATATTTTCCCATATTTTCTGGGGGATCGACGATTCATTGTGTCTGTGTGTTTTTTTCCCTCCTGATTTTTCTCACTCAATGGGGTGATCGCTTCAGGTCTTCGCTACTTTCCCAGGCCCCGAGCTACAGCGTATCCAAACTGAACTTGTCGCTGGAGAACTCCCCGAAGCTCGTGGCCACGCCTGTCACCGTGTGCAGCACTTGCACGGATGGCGGGCGGCCCCGCTTCGAAAGGGAGGCATCGCAAGTCAACTCGCTGAACTATGACCCTAAGTTCCGCATGCCTGATTCTGCGCCAGGAGGACGCAAAGCAGTTCCTTTCCGAATTGGGGCCCTCGCCAAACTGGCAGGCCCAACTGGTGCTGGTCTTTCAAGGAGGACGCTTCTAATGAAAAGGAATGCTTCCAGGACTGTATGCGGAGGGCACTTGGGACGGGAGGGTGCACTGCCGCATCGCCGGTGCCCGTTGGGTTTGCTCCGGTCTCCCCTTCCTCCTCCTCGTCCTCCTCGTTCTCCTCCTCCCTTCTCCCCATCCTCCTTCCTCATCCTCCTCCTCCTCCTCCTCCTCCTCTTCCTCCTCTTCCTCTTCCTCCTCCTCCTCCTGGTCCTCTTCCTTCTCCTGGTCCTCCTCGTTCTCCTCCTCTTCCTCTTCCTCCCTCAACCTCTTCATCCAAGCAATCCTCGTGGACATCATGTCTGGATGGGCTGGTGGAGGCACGCGAAGCGCGAAGACTTGGCCCTCCTCTTCGTCCTCCTTGTTCTCTCCGTTTTCCTCGTCCGTCCTCCTTCCTCCTCCTCCTCCTCCTCCTCCGCGTTCCTCCGTTTCTCCCCTTCTTCTTTTTCTTCTTCCTCCTCCTCCATCCAGTCTACCCCTTCTCCTTCTCCTGGCTCTCAGCCCTCCCCCGCTTGCTCCTCCTGCTCATTTCCTCCTTATTCTCCTCCTCGTCCTCTTGGTCCCCCTCCTCTCCCCTCCATGTTCATCCGAATCCTCCTCGTTCTCTCCCTCGTCGTCGCAGCCGACTTCCATCTCTTCCTCCTCCTGCTCCATCCTCCCTCTCCTCCTCCTCCTTCTCCTCCTCCTGGGACTCCTCCTTCCTCCCCTTCCCTCCTCCTCCTCCTGCCCTCCTCCCCTTTCTGTTCCTCCCCCTCTCTTCATCCCCCTCCTTCATCTTCCTCCTCCTTCTCCTCCTCTCTCCTGCTCCTCCTCCCGCCTCTCGCCGTCCTCCTCGTCACATCTCCTCCTGGCCTCGTGTTGCTCTTCCTCCCACGGCCGCGTGCCGCTGGACGTGCTGCTGCAGCCTGAAGGCAGAACCACGCCGGCGATGACACTAAACGGGCCTCGCCTCTCCTGACTGCTGCTGCTGCTGCTGCTGCTGCTCCTATGTTATCCCCTGCCTCCCATCCCTCGTCTCCCGTCCCTCCGTCCTGCCATGGCTCCCTCCCTTCCATCCATCCCCTCAAGCTCCGTCCTGCCTCCCTCCCTCCACTGGTTCCTTCCTTCCGGCGTCTTTCCTGCCGTTCTCCCTCTGTAGGTTCCCTCCTCTACCTCCTTTGTCCCTTCCTCCCTGCCTCACCCCTCCCTTCCATCTGTTTCATGTCGTTCCTTCATTGTCCCTCCCCCTTTGGGAACCACTGGAAACCTCCAACACATGTGAAAGCAAAAGAGATCATCAACCACACATTGCAAATCTGTTCAACGTCGGAATGCAATCGACATCCACGACAGCCTGTCCGCCCTCTCCCTGCCAGACATCGCAGGGTCCAGGTGCCCCTTGGCGAGCACCTCCTGGTAGGCCTGCATCACCGTCTTCACCTGTGCTGCGCCGCGGTCGGGACGTCCGCTGCGCACTACGCGACGACCGATGGGCCCGACTCATACAACAACCACGGTGCTCCCGCTCATCCAAACACAGTGAAGAGGCCCTGGGACACACAACTAAATACACACAAATAAAAGTATTCTCCATATCTTCCCATATTTTCTGGGTTTTTGTCTTCCCTCCCACTGCCCACATTTTCCCATATCTTCCGGGGAGTGGACGATTAATTGTGTCTGTGTGTTTTTTTCCCTCCTGAACCTGTGGAAGCACAAACATACCGATGCCGCCACTCCCCAGACATCCCCCTCGGGGTGCACACCGATAAAAAGGGGTGTCGACGCGCATGTCCAGCCGAGGCGACGAGGGACGGGTAGCGGTGTTGGTACCTTCTCCTCTCGTCCTGCTCCTCTCTCCGAGCTCCTCGTCCCCCCTCGTCCACGCCTCCTCACGCCTGCTGCTGCTGCTGCTCATAGCCTTCCCTTCCAGCTCGCGCTTCCTCCGTCTCCTCCTCGGCCTTAGCCTTGTCCACATCCCGCCCTCGTCCTCTCTGCGGACCCGCCCGATTCTAGCCTCCCCTCCCCTCCTGCCCGAGATGGCACTCGCTCAACCCCGGACGTTGCGATGTCTAGGCAGGCCGTGCCGAGACTCGTGCGGCCCCGGCCCCATGCATACCGGGGTGTTTCACGAAGTTGCAACCTGCTTTCGAAAGCCACCTGGCAATGCGGATGCCCAGTGCTGCCTCTCCGCCGGCTGTGGGCACCAGACGGTCTCGAGCCCTCGCGGAGTTGAGGGATCAAGAACTGGATTCCGCTGCTCTCTGCCGTTGGCGATAGAAGCAACACTGGGGACACAACCATTTGCATGCACCTGCACGTGGGCATGAGCAAGTGTGCGTGTGAAGATAAGCTGGAGCTGGTAAGTACGGTGCTGAGCATCTGTAGTGCAAGTGGAACAGTGACCAAGCATGGCCGGACATGATACCATGCTAACCTATCAAGAGCATCGGAAGTGGTGGCGGGCCGGGAACAACCAGAAATTGATGTCTACGGCCTCCAAAGCGAGCCAAGAACAGTCGAAAGGCAAGCCGGCAAATGTGTAAAGACGCCTGGTACCAATACGTTGTGAAACGTTGTGGGATACTACAAGTAACTCTTTCATAGACAGTATTCGGCGAGTGCCGTGTGCGGGCGGGGAACTGTAGCGATAGCCATCCATTAGGTGCTCTCGCGACGATGCAGCCGAGGCCCCAACGCGCGACATCAATCCGTGCGTCATCTTGAGGTTGGCGTGGTACATGCCATGCTGAAGTTCGCGCCCCCTTGTCCAATATTCGAGCTCGCGCTCCTCGAGCTTCGTGTCGTTTGCGTACCTTGTGGCAGAGAAAGTTCAGCATTCGAGGTCTGGGGTGCGAAGGCTCCCACGAAGCCGCCTCCAGCAAGGAATCCTGGCTTCGCGTACGTAGTTTTCGCGCGTGCGCAACTGTGCGCGAACATGCTCCCTCGAGGTCTCCGTACGTCTCCAGGGATGCCTTGAAGTCTCCCGGGCTCCTTCGGGGTCCCCAGAGGCCTCCCGTGGCCTCCAGACGCTTCTGAGCGCGCCAGGAGCATCTCCAAACCTGGATCTTCAATTCTCAGCTCTTGGCCCAAAGCGCCGACATCTGTAGAACGACAATCATAAAAACGAGAATGCCACGAGCTAAGCCTAAAGCTAGAACCTACACTTCATCAGTCCTTTTTCCACATGCACAGCAGGATGGCGGACACTGGGGCAAACCTGAACAGGGGCTGTGACGCAAATTATGGAACGTAGGGGTCACGTGAGATCCACCTCACCCTTAATTCACATGCCTGCCGAAGGCAGGACTGGCCTACAACGAACTTATATCGGTGCTCTCACTCTCGTGGTAGAACCAGCATCTAGATCGCTAGATCTTCCCAAGGCCCAACTACCTGAAACCAGCGTCCACAACCTCTCCAAATCGCTCGAGGTGCCGAGATACCACACGGCTCGTTGTTCCAGAAGGCGGCAATCCCCCAAAACATCGCACATCTTGGGCGGCCGAATTTTTGTTTGCTTCCGCCGGCCTTCCCGGAGGCAGGGGCGCCCCCGCTCTGCAGCCGAAAGAAGCGGTTCGGACAATTCTGACTTAAGGAACCTGGGCCAGCCTCCCAGAAGTTTCTTAGGGGAACAAGAAGTGACACAAACATAAAAACTCGGAGGTCCGCGCGGATTTCTCGGATCGGCGCTGGACCCCCCCCGCCCTGGCGCGCGGAGCGCCCCAGGGGCAGCGCCGGAGGCGCCGCCGGGGGGCCCCAGCGCCGATTCGAGAAATCCGCGCGGACCTCCGAGTTTTTATGTTTATGCCACTTTTTGTTCCCCTATTTCTGAAAACAAGCCTGGGACAACTTCTCTGGTGCATGCTGCAGGGGCGAACGCGCTTCACAGAAGACGAAAGAACGCCATAAGTATAAACATTTGGCGCTCCGCGCGGCTTTCTCGGATCTGCGCTGGAGCCCCCTCCCTGGCGGGCAGACCGGGCCAAGGGCGGCGCCGCCATGGGGGCGCCAGCGCAGATCCAAGAAATTCGCGCGGAGCGCCACACGTTTCTGTTTATGGCGTTTTTGCTTCTTCGACTTCAGAAGCTGGGCCAGCTTACCAGCAAGCTGGTTCAGAGACGCTGGCCCAACTTTTCGGGAGGGGGCTCCTTAATCAAATGCTCGACTGCGTGTCTGCTGGCCGCCCGCCGCCTAACAATCCGAGACCAGCACGAAAAATCGCCGATGCATCGGCGATAGGCCCCCGACATCTGGCGAAACCGCGCGTTCCGCTGGGCGGGCTTGTAGGGCCCCAGGCTCCGACGGGCGTCGGTGGGGCGACTGGGGGTCGATGCCCCGGGACACCCCGAAGCGTCCAAGAACTCCCTGCACCTCTCGGCACCGTCTGGCCAGCCTCTCTGCGGTCCTCGAGCCCCTCGTCCTCGGGGGGAGCCCGCGGCCCTCCCTGGGGGTGGCCCCCCTCTCTTGGCGCTGCCGGGGGAGCCCGCGCCGGTCCCCGAGCAATGAGCTGCGCGCAAAGGCGGGGCACATCTCGTGGTCCCACGCCGACAAGTTGGTCCAGTTCAGCCTGGCCCTGTCGCTGTCGAGCCGGCGCCTGAGCCTCGCGATGACGGCCTCGTTGTGCCTCTTGCTGTCCTCCTCCTGGGGGGCGCCGCCGTGTCCCGGGCCCCCCCTCTCGTGGAGAGCAGAAGCGCGACGAGCAGCGCTTGGCCGCCTTTGGCCTTCGGGGCCCCCCGCGCCGGCCGCGGGACCGTCAAGCCATCCTGGCGGCGGAGCCAGCCATGTGCAACTGTGAGTGCCGCGGTCGTGAGCGTCGTCTTCGGTGGAGCTCCCCATGGGGCCACGAAGCGTGCGAGAGGTGTGCAGGCATGGGTGCGGGGGACGGATGCGAGAATCGCCCCTGGGGCCTTCGGTGGAGCTCCCTGCGGGGCCTCGAACCGTGTAGAGATGTGCGCCCAAACGGGTGCGGGGGACGCATGCGATAACCGTCACTGAAGCCTTCGGCGGAGCTCCCTTTAGGGCCACGAAGCGTGTGAGGTGTGTGTGTGTGTGTGTGTGTCGAAATTCTTGCAGAGCACGCCTGCGAGTATTGCCACTTTTTCGAACTCTCTTTGGGGCTCTTTGGGACTCTCTTGGAGGCCTCTCGATGCCATTCGGTGCCAGCTGACATTTCCTACCTTGTTGCTTGCGTGACCTGATGTTGACTCCTCTTGGGACCCTATCGGGGCCCTGTTTGGGGGACGCCCCTTTGAAGGTTCATGGCCATTTTCAACACTACCGTCTATTCGTTTTGCCCGTTTTGCCCCTTCCTCTCCATGCTCCTCCTCCTCCATCATTCCTCCTCTCCTTCTTCCTCCCCCTCCTCGTCATCCTCCGCCCTTGCGCCCCGCGCATCGCAACAGAAACATACTCCTGGCACAAGCCAAATCCACCGTTTCTCCGATACCACCGCCAGGGATCGTGAACATGCACACACACACACACACACACACACACACACGCACGCACGCACGCACGCACGCACGCACGCACGCACGCACGCACGCACGCACGCACGCACGCACGCACGCACGCACGCACGCACGCACGCACGCACGCACGCACGCACGCACGCACGCACGCACGCACGCACGCACGCACGCACGCACGCACACGCACGCACGCACGCACGCACGCACGCACGCACGCACGCACGCACGCACGCACGAGCACGCACGCACGCACGCACACACACGCACACACACACACACACAGGCACAGGCACAGGCACAGGCACAGGCACAGGCACAGGCACAGGCACAGGCACAGGCACAGGCACAGGCACAGGCACAGGCACAGGCACGCACGCACGCACGCACGCACACACACACACACCACACACACAACACGCACCACACACACAACAGACACAACAGACACAACACACACAACACACACACAATACACACAACACGCACAACACACAACACACACACAACAACACACACAACAACACACGACACACACAACAACACACACAACAACACACACACAACACACACACA